AGAAAAGAATTTAGAGCACAATTCATCACAAATATTATTGCATAAGTATTTTGATACTTTCTTACATCTTATATAGCTTACTCATCCATATTGCCCAACTTGTATTATAGTCCTGAAAACAACATGGATCTCAAAATCTTATCCTAGGGGTATAACGATAATTTTTCATATTATACATACAATGCATTCTTATAAAAAATTGCCCTTTTGAAGTCTTGAACATGCATTTTCTAGCCATTTAAGATAAGAAAGGTTGGCATGCTAGCACATCCTAGTGACCCCTACAAGTATTACTTGTCTAAAGTTTGTTTCGCTACTTACATGGATGAAGTATGCTTGAGCTAGCTTTTCTGCGTGTTAGAGGCTCTAAATTTTTTAAAATGTCTCCGGTGGGCAAGTATAATTAGGGTTAGATCAAAATCAAGACAAAAGTAGCTGAATGAGGGTCAAACAAGCCAAACAATGGCTTACCACGTGCATAGTGTCACAATCGCACAATCGCAACAGAGGGACAACGATTGAGTGACACTTTTTCTAACCCAGCGAATAAGTCACACATGTGAAATTTGCACTTCGTGGACAATATCGGCATATCCTTTTTCTCATGTCAAATTTGGCAAAATATTTTAGAAGACGTGAGTGAGAAAATACTTTGAATTTTTTAATGTTTTAAGCGATGGGATATGCTCAACTTTCAACCAAAATTCGCTCGGTTTCCACTACAAATTTCTCTAAATTTCCTAAATAGATTCTAGAATAAGAGAAAAGGTAAGCACCATCGAAATTTCTTTCCCATTTTCACAATTAGCTCTAGTGGGGAGCCTTTCATAACGAATCGTCTAAATTTCTTCCATGAATCAACGGTGAAGATGAGTTGATTGGAGTGAAAACTACTCAAAACCATCAACAAACGAGGGATAACTTAAGAGGAGAAAAACAAAACTTGATTTAGTGATTTTCCTTCGAATTGATGCCCCAAGACTCTTAAATCCTCTTAATCAAAGCCTCAAGAAATCGAGCAAAAAAAAAAAAAAAAAACTTTGTGTATCATCGAATTTTGAGGAAAAAAATCTACTAACTAGCCAATCTTTTCTCTCTCGAAACAAGTTATTCATTCAAAATCCTCCACCTACAAGTTGAAACTCACCAAACTTATACTAATTAAGAATTATGGAGAAAAATATGGTAAAGAACTAGATTTCCTTATCCTCCATTCTATCATTTCCTCCTCCTATTAGTTCTCAAGTTACTGCATACACCTCCTCTAATTTATAATCATGTCCCTCTCCCAAGCATTCTCGAAGTAATTGACATTTCACATCCTCTTAGTCACCTTCATATTATCTCCTTCTTTGAATCACGCATCAACATCCTACAAGTCACAGTCATATCACAACATCAACCTTTTTAAGTCATAGTCATGTTGGATCCTCCAACCCTACTCCAAGTCACCATTATATCTCTTTCTCCTAGTTGCGTCCTTGTCTCGTCCTCCAAGTTGCCACATAAGTCTTTTTAAGTTAGAAGCATGTCTCTTCTTCAATCCTCCTCCAAGTAACCGACATATCACCCCTCCAAGCCTCTTAGTAAAACTTGGACTCGAATCCCAGACATATTTTTATTTTCATTATTATAACAAACAATATATTGTGGAGATAATTAGGGACTTGCTAGCTTATCTTTAATCATGGACTCTCAAGACCATATCAACGTTGGTATTAAATGATGGACTAAAAATCAAAGTAGATGAAGTAGTTTAGTGGTGAAGATCCAAGTTGTGGTCGTGTAGACCTACACTTGAATCCCAACAATTGAAAGTGGATTGAGCGTAATGAAGTAATTTTTTTTATTTTTTTGCAATGGTTTCTTAAAAATTACACATGTTAGTGAGTTACAAGATAATACGATAATGTTACTATGTATGAAATGATAAAGAGTTTACTAGTTTAACCTTAACTTTAAACTATCAAGATGGGCTTACAGTATGAACAATTTGATGTGGAGACAATTAAAAGTTTGTTGGTTTATCCTTAACCTGCATAGGCATAACTCACAGATTTTGAGTCTATCTCCTAGGCCACTCAGACATATTGACACCCTTATATAAAAAATGATTCGTTTCTTGTTCAACCGATGTGGGACCCAATAAATGTGGAATTTCTTGTGCAGGCAAAGCGCAACATAAAAAGGCAAAACCCAACAGATTTCTTCGTTTCTTGTTCAACCGATGTGGGACCCAATAAATGTGGAATTTCTTGTGCAGGCAAAGCGTGTTTGGACATATTGACACCCTTTATAGAAGGAATGATTGGTGAAATGATTGGTTTTCTATCGAATCGACGTGGGATTTAACAATAAAGCTAAAAAAGTCATCAACAACAAGATTCAAACCTATGTGGGAAAAGCCAATAGATTTTTAGTCTGTCTTCTTAACCACTCAGACGTATTGACACCCCTTATATAAGGAATGATTCGTTCCATATTCAACCGATGTGGGATCTAACAATAAAAGCTAAAAAGTCACCAATAGCATAATTCCTTCTTACTCACTCGAACATATTGACACCCCTTGTATAAGAATGGTTCGTTCCCGGTCCAACTGATGTGCAATTTCACAATAAAGATAAAAAGTCTCCTTAACCACTCAGACATATTGATACCCCTTGTATAAGAATGATTCGTTCCCCGTCCAACCCATGTGAAATTTCACAAGATTTGAACCTGTGCAAGCAAAACCCAACAGATCTCAAGTTTGTCTTCTTAACCACTCAAATATATTGACACACTTATATAAGGATGTAGGACTCACAATAAAGCTAAAAAGTCGTCCATAGCAGAATTCCTCCTTAACTTCTTGGACATACTTATATAAAGAATTATTTATTCTCTATCCAACCAATGTGAGCAGAATTCCTCCTTAACCACTTGCATACTTATACAAGGAATGATTTGTTTCCTGTCCAACCGATGTGGGATTTCACAATAAAGCTCAAAAGTGGGATTTCACAATAAAGCTCAAAAGTGGGATTTCATAGGATTCAATAACACAATAGTAATTTCATGGAAAAATCAAGAGAAAAAGGAAAGAAAAGAGAGGTTATAAATGGTGATTATCAAAAGCAACATCTAGATGTTCTTTGCTTAGCTACCATTGGTTACAATCTCTAAGGCCAAGAGGCGATTTTTAAAGACTTTTCTAAGGAAGTTGTAGATTAAACACTCTTGACAATAAATTAATTAACATCCAAATTCTTGAAGTGTTTAATGTCGTAGCCTTGTCTTTGAAACTTTTTGATGAGTTAGCTTATGTCTCTTTGATGAAAGACCCTTAGTAAGTTCTCCCTATATTGTACACGATGAAGTCATAAGAAAAAGGTTAAACCGTTGGTGGAATATGAAAGGTCTTTGATTCTTGTGTTTTCGTAGCCTTACTTTGTGTCATTTACTTTAAGTTATGATTAGGTTTGTGGCTACAAGCACTCATGACATGATGTTAAATTGATAAGATTCGAATAAGTTAGCATAGAAGGGATGGAGGAAGACAAGGTAATTGTAACATCCAAGTAAGTAAAAGCACTCGAAAAAAAGTGAGAGATCCAAATGAAGAATTAAGAGATCGAAGGATGGTTCAAAGGGCTCAAAGAAGATATGTTCAACCCTTTAATAAGGTTTCATAAGGATCCAAAGACTTGAAAAAAAAAAAAAAATCTTTTTCTAATTGTTTAATTGGATTTTTAATATTTCATTGAAAAGGAATTGAATTTTCTTTTTTTGGAAGGAGGAATTTTAAAATGTTGAAGAAGGAAAAAATTACTTAAAAGGGTAAAAACTTTTAAGAAAAAGTTTGAAGTTTTAGAATAAAATGTTAAAAAATAAAAATAAAAATACAAAAATGCTATGAAGTTCAAGATAATTATGAAAATGTTCCAGCATTATATCGGTAGTCGATTCGATTTTAGATTTGACAAGATGCACAAAATCGCTCATAGTATAAGATCTAACCATTGGATTGAGCTGAAATTTGAATATGTTCCAGAAGGCTCGAGGTTCCTTAGATCCAACAGCTAATATTTAAAATAAAGGTAGGTAGCACCATCATATGAGTAGATATTTTCGATAGATTGTTTAGAAACTTCGAGTTAAAATTTAGTAGGAGTCTAGAATGTCAAAGACAATACAAGCTTCATTTATAAATAAGAAGTTGTAGGCAATGTTTTGGGACAAGAATCGAGTGATGGAGTTCCTAGAGCTTAAGATTTAGACTCTTATTTTTTTTATTTTTCTTCTTGAATTTCTTCTAAATTGGAGGGCTATGATACACTATTTTAGCTCAAACCAATTTGTACACATTCTAAATGAGTTTACTAACAAGTTTCATGAAGGATTTTGGAATTAAAAGTTGTCCCGAATGCAATGAGAGTCTACATATAGATTGCCTACTAGTTATATTTATATACCATCCTTTCGACAATTTTTTCTTCCAGGTGTATGATGTTGTTGGATGAGACGAGAAGTACTTGAAAGCTAGGTAGCCACAGAAGGGTGTTGATGTAAGGCATATGACTTGTCCATTTATTATTATTTTTTTTTGTCTGTTATATCATATACATCTTTTGTATCTCGGTCTGTTATATCATATAAAAAAATGTACTTACCTAGGTCAACTTGCAATCACTTCAGCAATAGTGTCATAGTCTTAACTTTGTTCTCTTGTGCATGTTTTGCTAGGGAGATTATCCTATCGATCACCTGGAGCATGGTATATATAGTCTAAACATTCGTATATGATTATAAGGAAGATATCCTATCAATCACATATATCACTAAAAACATAACTAAAACATTCATGCAAATAAACAAGCTCAACGGTGAGATTATAACCATCAATCACCTGGAGCACAGATCACAATGGTCCATCTTAGGAAAGCATTTAAAACATAATTCATCATAAATCTTACCATAGAAGTATTTTGTTACTTTCTTACTCTTATATAGCTTACTCATCCTATTGCCCAATTCGTGTGTTATAGTCATGAAAGCAACACGCATCTTAGAATCTTATCCTAGGGGTATAATGGTAATTTGTTTGAAACATCCTTAAATTTTCGTATTTAATCTAAGGTCATTATTATACTTCTAACCTTACATTTAATGGGAATTCATTCTTTAGATGGACTCTTATTATAAATGAAACATGGATTCTTACCTCCGTTATCACCTCGTGAATAACGAATACCAGGGAAAGAAAGAAAAAAAAAAAACAATGCTGAATTAAATACCCAATACTAACCTTTAGTTTATAAATGTAATTACAATTCAACCTGCATTAGCTTATACTAATAATGCAAATGCAATTCAACCTATACTAACCTATATCATGAATGCAAATACAACTCAGCTTATACTAACATAATTTATTAAATTAGAAAGCAAATCTATCCTATGCATGTGCCATCGTCACGGGATTTGTGATGCTTCCATCGGTCTCACATGGGTGCTTTGCCTTTATCTGAAAATGTAGAAGCACGAGGCTTGAGTATTTAAAAAATACTCAGTAAGCGACCCCTTATCGGGGTTATGCAACAAGAACATGCAAATATAATGATGATACCTATCATATCAGTCTATTTTCCTATGGCACTATCCTAATGGGTAGCTTAGATGTGTACCATATACTCTACATCCAACCCATACGTGTGAGTACGGGCTCACCAGTTAATTCGCACATCGCTGGGACCCTTTTCTTGTCGGGCGAGCCTGTTCTGGTAGCTCTTTATGCTAGACACACATTAGAACTAGTAACCGTCACGATAGCATTATGTAAAACATAATGATACTTCACCTGCCTAGTGGTATACGTGTCCGTACTCTTGTGATGGAATAGGGGTATCCCCCCAATGGATGAACGCACATAATGAATATGGTTCCAATATTTTTTTGTTTTCGACATTATTAAATATAATCCTGCTATCATTTTCATTCATATCATATTACTTCTCATTTTTCAATCCTTCTATCATGCATACTTCTAACGGGATTATATTTCATGCTGCTATTGACTGTGATTTCATACCATATATCAGTCGTTTACATACAATTTATGAAATATAAACTCACATTTCATACTTTCATCATAACTTATTATGACATGCGATTCATACACAAAACATCTCAACAATCACATAAACATTCTAAGCACAACACATCACGTCACATTATATTGCACATCAAGTCATTTAAAAAATAGCATACATTCACATTGCATACTTTTATGCATTAAATAGTAAAAATCTGACATACAATTTATGACACGCGCGAATCCATGGGCACATACCAACATACAACATACAATTGTGTAACCTACGACGGTAGAGCCACTTACTTGGTAGGCCTTATCTGACGGACTCCCTAAAATATATACGTAAGCTCCTAGCTCTTTGTATGCGTCTTACGTTTTCGTTGGTGGTTGGTTCCTATTGGATCGTTTGACATCTTTGTTAGTATTTCACAAACATAATTAAATTTCAACTTGAACTTTGTGAAATACGGCCTTGAAATGACCTATTTTACCTCGAACAAGGTGGAAATCAAGTTTTAGAGGGTTGGAACGATGCTGAACAGGTCGGAAATAGGTTTTCCGAGCAGACACTGACTTGTGGTGCAACCAAAAGCGGCCGTGTGTGCAAGTTGAAGTTGGGTCAATGTGCGGGTCATCAGGCGGGTCTGGCTTCGGTCATGGGTTCTGGGCTGGGTTCTATTGTTGGGCTGCGGGGATTCTGTCTGGGCTCAGGGTTATTTAGTTGGGCCGAGTGGGTTTAGGCTGCAGATGGGTTGGACCATCAGGGCGAGTTTTCAAATTCTGGGTCGCAGGTTCCTTTGTCTGTTCTTGGTTGCAGTTTCGGGTCGTGATTGATGGGTTAGGCCGAGGTGTAGATTGGATTTTTTGGGTTGGGCTGAGGCATCTAAGTCGTGGGTATTGGACTCGATTGGATTTGTTTCCGGTTCGGGTCCAGGTTTGAATCTCGGGTCGGGACTCGTCTTCTTCACCCGATTACCAGAAAAAGTTCCAGCTACTTTTCTGTTTCTTTGGTAACGTCGTTTCTAATGCTCGTTTTCCTCCTTTTTCTTTCGTTTTCGAGTTTCCTCTTCCTCTTCTTCCCGTTTATGGCGTTTGTTTGGCTTGTATAGGAGATCTGAAAACTCGAGGTTATGTCCTCCTCCTCCAGTGGTGTACAACGTATATGAAGCGTCGAAATCTATCCTTGGTGTGTATACAGGTCTCTGGGGTTATTTTCGTGGCGTAAATTGATGATTTCAATGTCGATTTCGTATAGGTTCACTTCGCCGGAGCGTCGTCGGTTTCACTGCCTCTCTCGTTTTCTCACTGTTTTCTTTCCTTGCAGGTGGTTTTGAGATGGCTGAAGTCTAGAGTTTGATGTTGTGGTGATCCATCAGTTGGGCGGGGGTCGTGGGTCGTGGGTCGTGTGAGAACAAAAACTCCAGCGTTCGTTGGAGTTTTTGGGTCTCGCCGGTGACCATAAACGCCTCTGATTTTTTTTCTTTTCGTCTGATCGGTTACATTCTCTAGCCCTAAAAAGAACTTTCGTCCTCGAAAGTCTCAAATTCCTGGAACAATTTGGGGTATTTTCTTTTTATACACCCACGTATCTTCTTCGGTTTGATGATTTTGCCATAATACTTTGACAGAACCTATGTCCCTATTACGTAAGGCTTTCACCTCCTAAGCTAGGACTTTAATCGATTTCTCTTGGTCACATAAATCTTTCTCGATCTCAAGGGGTCTGTAGTCCATCATGTGCGTAGGATCTATAAGGTTAGCTTGGTAACATAAATCTTTCCTCAACATGGACACATGGAATACGTCGTGTACTGTCGAGAGTGAAGACGGTAAGGTTAGCTTGTATGCTACTGAGCCTATTCGTTCTAAGATTTCGAAAGGTCCGATAAAGCGGGGGCTTAGCTTTCCCTTGCATCGGAATCTTAGGACGCTTTTCATGGCAGCTATTTTTAGGAACCCCAAGTAACCCTCTTCGAGCTCTAAATTCGTACGCCTAACGTCGGTGTAGCTCTTTTGCCTACTTTGTACGGTGCGCATTCTTGCTCTAATTTTCTATACTGCCTTGTTTGTAATGCGGACCAACTTGGGCCCTATTAATTTTCGTTCTCCTACTTTGTCCCAACCCAATGAGGATCTACACCGTTTTCCATATAACACTTTAAATGGTGCCATCCCAATTGTTGCTTGGAAACTGTTGTTGTACGAGCATTCCATTAAGTGATATTTGATGTCCCAACTTCTCGTGAAATCCATAACACATGCCCGAAGCATGTCTTCTAAGATTTGGTTCAATCGTTTCGTTTGGCCATCAGTCTGTGGATGGAAGGCAGAGCTAAATTTGAGGCGGGTACCCTACACTTTTTGGAGTCCGCGCCAAAAGACCGACGCAAAACGCGAGTCCCGATCTAATACTATTGATACTGAGACTCCATGCAACCTCACGATTTCTTTCAAATATAGTCAAGCCCAATTTTCTACTATATATGTTGCCTTACCTGATAGGAAGTGTGCCGAGTTTGTCAGCTTGTCAATAATTACCCAAATTACCATGTAACCCTTTTGTGTTTTGGGTAAGCCTACTATGAAATCCATAGCAATATTCTCTCACTTCCACTTCGGTATGCTTAGAGGTTGTAGTAGTCCGGCTATTTTCTGCCTAGGGGCTGTTACTTGTTGGCACACTAGACATTTACTCACGTCCTCTGCGATATCCTTTTTCATACTCCGCTACCAAAAGTGTTGTTTCAGGTCTTGGTACATCTTCGTACCACTAGTTGTATCTAGAAAGGCGAGTTATATGCCTCGGTTAAGATTTCGTTCTTTATTTCACTCACAGCTGGAACACATAAATGTCCTTGACATCACCGTCTGTCGTCTATTGATTTAGAAAAACCGTTCATTGGGCCTCCTATTAATTGGTCTAGAATTTTATTTAGGTTAGGGTCTTCTCGGTTTGAGTCTATGATCCTCTGTCTGAGTGTGGGTCGCATTGTAAGTCGCGCTATTTAAGCTATAACTTCCTCGGTTACTACCGCTATGTTAGCACGTTCGAAATTCGTTTGCACTCATTGCTCTCTTATGATGAGGGCCGATGAGTGTATCGTTTTTTGACTTAGTGCGTCTGTGACTACGTTTGCTTTTCGACGGTGGTACTGAATATCTATATCATAGTCTTTTACTAGTTCTAGCCACCTTCGCTGTTTCATGTTCAATTTCTTTTGTGTGAAGAAGTATTTTATGCTTTATGATCCCTATAAATTTGGGTCTTTTCGCCATATAAAGAGTGTCGCCAAATTTTTAATGCGAGCACCACCGCCGCTAATTCTAGATCATGTGTTGGATGATTTTTCTCATAATATTTTAATTGACATGACACGTATGCAAGTCATTGTCACTGTCACGCCACCTCTCCCAAATCACAAACATACTACCTTAGCAAAGTTAACCTTTTCCAACTCATTGTATATCACTTTCACCAAGTTAACCTCCAATTCCTTATCATGCCATCTCCTCCAAATAACTATCAAACTTTCTTATGCAAGTCATTGTGTTGTTCTATTTCAAGTCATATCAATTGGGCCTCCTCTAATAAGTCATCATCATATCTCCCTTTTCAATTCACATCCAAGCCTCTTCCATATGGTAATATTGTCCCTATCAAGTATTGTCATATTGCCTCTATGAAGTCACCTCCAAGTCTTCTACTTAAAGTTAGAGCATACACCTCCTCTAATTCATAATCATGTCCCTCCCCTAAGCATCCTCTAAGTAATTGACATGTCACATCCTCTTAGTCACTTTTGTATTATCTCCTTTTCCAAGTCACACATCAACCTCTTACAAGTTACAGTCACATCATCACATCAACCTCTTAAGTCATAGTCATGTTTGATCCTCCAACTCTCCTACAACTCACCATCATATCTCTTTCTCCTACTTGCCTCCATGTCTTATCGTCTAAGTCGCTAGATAAGCCTTTTTAAGTTAGAACCATGTCTATTCTTCAATCATCCTCCAAGTAATCGATATATAACCCCTCCAAGTGTCTTAGTCATTACAATGTTACCTCTCTAAGTCACCTCTATGTCGCCCCCTTGACCAAGTACCTCCATGATGCTTCCGCCCAGGAGCTAGATTATGATGAATGATGGCCAGAAAGAGCTAGACAAACAATAAGCCCCAGGTTCTCATAGTATTCTATTCCTATATGAAATTAACAATATAATGTTAAGATAATTAGGAGCGTGCTAGCTTATCCTTAATTGTGAACTGCGAGGATAAAATCAACATTGGTATTAAATGATGAGATGACAGATGAGCCCCACCGGCCTAGATTATAATGAATAATGGTAAAACTTGGGCTCAAATTCCAACTACCATATTTGTTTTTCATTATATAATGAACAATACATTGTGGAGATAATTAGGGACTTGCTAGCTTATCTTTAATCGTGGACCCCAAAGACGAGATCAACGTTGGTATTAAATGATGGACTAAATATCAAAGTAGATGTAAAAGTTTAGTGGTGAGGATCCAAGTTGTGGTCGTGCAGACCTAGGTTTGAATCCCAACAATTGAAAGTGAAATTGAGCCTAATGAAGTAATTTTTTTTGCAATGGTTTCTTACTAGTTTAAGCTTAACTTTAAACTGTCAAGATGGGCTCCCACTATGAACAATTTAAGGTGGAAACAATTAGAAGTTTGCTGGTATCATGAACTATCAAGATAAGATCAACGTTGGTATTAAATGACTAGTTGATAGATGAGCCATTTAGGGCTAGTTTACGATGAATGATGGGCTAAAAATCAAAGTGATTATAGTTTAGTGGTGAGAATTCCACGTTGTGGTCGTTGAGACTTGGGCTTGAATCCCAGTAGCCACATTTATCTCCTTAGCTTTTAGCTATAAATCAACCATATTAATATGACTCAAAAGCAAAAAATACAAACAATAGACCTCAAATATGACATTCGTAATGATGTACTTTGGTCCTTGTTCCACCTCAAGTGGAGTTCACAACCCACCCAACCCTTCGAAAAATGACAATGAGTTATGAGATGATACGATCGTGTCCAGTTACTATGTAGGAAACGATAAAGGGTTTGCTAGTGTTTATGCTTGACTTTAAACCGTAAAGATGAGCTCTCATATTATGAACAATAAAAAGTTTGCTTGTTTATTTTTAATCATTAGGCCACAAGACCAAATCAACGTTGGTAACCAAATATAAAACTAGTTGCCACAAGACCAAATCAATGTTGGTAACCAAATATAAAACTAGTTGCCACAAGACCAAATCAACTTTGGTAACCAAATATAAAACTAGTTGCAATTTAGTGGTGAGAATTTCAAGTTGATCTAGGGTTGATTCTCTATAGTCACATTTGTTTTTTTAATTCTAAAAGCGAGTAGTTTTACTTATTTTTTAATTTTGAATTAGATATGTTCTTAAAAATAACACAAATAATTTCAAAGTGAAATAGTTTGATGAAATAATTACATAAATTTTGTAACGATCTATGAATAAATGAAGCTTGATTCTTATTGAATGTGGCATAAATTGCAACAACTTGTGATAATTTGAACATCGTCGTAAAATCTTCCATGAAGTGTATATTGCATGATTGATGTCTTGGTTAATATCAGAAGTTCTTTTTACAACTCTTAAGACAGGTAAATTTGTCGAATTGATGACCTTCCTCTTTCCTATCTCTCAATGTCACGACCCAATATTTTACTATGGACCGTGACTCAAAAAGACAACATGAATGCAAAGAAAATAGTTGAAAATTTATAAGGGCGAAATGATTTATTCCAAGTAAAGAAAATAGCAATACCAAGTTTCAAACAAACAAAAGTTTTAGGAACAAAAATATGAAAATATGAATGCAAAAGAAAAGACTAGACTGATGCCCCACGACATGTAGTTCTCTGTGACAATCCACCTCTCTCATCACACCCTACCTCGACCAAACGCCTCACGTACCTAAAAAAAGATATAGCAGGGATGAATATAAAATTATACCCAGTAAGTCACCTACTTGTAGGCTCTCATTGCATCCTAAACTTAACAGATAAACATGGGCTTCTAATTGGTTCTAGGACGTCTGGTTCTAATCTTAGGCCCTTAGGGCTTGCCCCTTGGGACTTCTATGGTTCTTTGTCCTCTCATTTAGTACTTAAGAGTTCCTTATGCTAAGCTGAAATGACCGGTGTCTCTTTATGGGGCGCTACCTCTGTATGGCTAACTGAGATTACATGGTGTTTTGCCTAGGGGTGTGCTGAGTACCTCCTGAGCTCATAATAGTCCCCCTATGGGGAGCATGACCCAACCTGTTCCCATGCAGCTAATGGGCTGTACGACGTGGGGACACATTTCTCATGCGAAATGGCTAGGAGCAGTAAGAACTGATCAGGAATCCTGGTTCTTCCACGAAGCTATAGATATCGTTCAGACAACTAACAACCTAAGAATACCCCTAAGGTAGTACGTTTGCCGTGGTGATCTGTTAAGCTCCTAAGGAAGAGATCTATTTAAGCTCAGTGACTTGTCACTCTAATCATGGATCCCTAGGCTTATCATTACCGTGTTTCCTAAACATTATCAAGATGGTGCAAGCATCAAGAACTAGACACATCATACATAGTTTATGCAAAAATAGGCAATCATGCTCAATGGGGCGATAACATCCATCAGCACCCGAAACGAAGAGTTCACAGTTTTTCCATCCTCCCTTCAGCATGCATAAACAGATACATACTAAGTGGAAGCATAAAACATGGTTAACTTTTCTCAGAACGTACACATTGCCACCTAAGCTCATAACATGGAAAAGTCTAATCAACTAAGGAAATTAATCTAGCATGCATGCATAACAAAGTGATTCCTACAAGTACTCATTCCTAAGTTCCGTGTGGGGACTTACATGGTTGACACGTGCCCTTTCGCTAGGGCTACTAAGCACGTAGGGTATCCAAAACTATTGATTTTCCTTAATTAGGTCCCTATTCACATAAAAACATTGTTAAAACTGGAATTGAGATGAAAATCGGGCAACTAGAAGTCAAACAGGTCAAAAAGGTCCTTACACGCGCCCTCACGCGTAGGGAAGGAAGCTAGTTGAAAGCGGACATGCGAGTACAACTCTCGATTTGCTTTTGCGCAGTCGCGGGTCAGCGCTCCAGTTTAGGTCGACAATTTGGATCGCTTGGGTGGACCATGGGTTGGTTTGGCCGACGAATTGCGGGTCGGGTCGGATCTACTCGCAGATCTGGAATCGGCACAGACGACACGTGTCGCCATTTCGCTGGGGCCGCATCGCTCTAGTTGTCGTCCAACACGTAGCTCCAGTCGATGTCTAACGTGTGTCGCCTCCTCATCAAGTCGTGCCTCATCGGTTTTCGAACGACACGTGACAGCTAGAAAAAATCTTCTCCCCTTCCTATCCGATAAAAAAAGAAAATGGGTAAGTTTTCTTGAATCTTCTCTTTTTTTTTATTTTTTTATCTTTCGATCTAAAACTCGAATCAACACGATTTCTTTTGCAAAGTTGTAGATCGTAATACCACTACACTTTAGCATTTTTTCTTGATTTTTTTCCTCATCACAGGACGAGTTATGAACATCGAAAGTAAGTCCATTAGCATCCTTACCACTTTTGGGAGAGCTCTCGGACCCTTCGCATTTTCAGCCAAGTTTCTCCACGGAATCAGTGAAAAAACCTTTCCTAGGTAACACGCCCAAATATTAGGTCTCAATTCATAAAAGTTAGTCTCAGATCTGGAAAACATTCTAAAACTCATCTCGATTATGGACGAAGTTTTGCCTGGCTCCTAGATTCTCCCAAACTTTCTTCTAATCTTCTTTTTTATGGTCAGTATTCGGTCACTTGTACCCCTCTAATAGATGGAAGAGTAAAATGACTCATTTGTCCCTTGTTGACTTGGGCCAATTTCTCTCTCTCTCTAATTTCAGCTTTACACTCCATGCCAAAGGTTGAAGTATTTTGCTTCGATCTCATAATGTAGTATTGGGTGACTCCAAAGTCAACATTGATATTCCTGACCCCTTTGTGATTAATCCAAGCCTCGACATATATAAGAGACTATGTTCCACTGACTTCCTTATTTCTTCCACCCTCTTCTTGAGAGCGAACAAGTACTTTAGTGCCCCCATGTAGTGGCATTCAACATTCTCAACTAGCGATATTTTCTTTCTATCGTCTCATACTCGACTTTTGAATTCACTCGGAGTTTTGCTTGAAAGGTATATAGTACCACCTTTTGCGGGCATTCAGATTTTTTATGGGCCTCTTGCATATGTAGCAAGACAAGGGGCCTTGATCGTGACTACTCCAACTATGAAGTTTTTGCCATTGAGTTCTACCTCTTTGTTGGGAGGACTCGCTTTCCCCTCTTCTTCCTTTAAGTCTATCACCTCCCCCACCCTTGGGGGAGGGGTCGATAATTGCTATTATTCCTACTTATGGAAGCTTGGTTCTGCCTTTCGTCTTGGAATTGATAGTTGCTAAGGTAAGTAGCATAAGCCATTGAAAAGGTCTTGGTCCCTTTGGTCATAAAGTGTGGCCTTCGCCCACACTTCAGCCCCTCAATAAAACTTAAGACCTTGTCTTTTTCAGACATGTCACGAATATCCAACATAAGCCCAAAAGAATCGCTTAACCTAGTCTCAAATATTCCCAGTATATCTCAACTCTCTTAAATTTCTCGTGTGTATCTCGACATTCTCTGTGAAGAACTGAAAGCAGAGTTCTTATTTTAATCTTTCTCACGTCTCCACGATACTACAACCATCTTAAATGTCCATGTACTTGGATCTTCACCACAACTTTGCATCGTCGATTAGATGCATTGTTTCCAAAACTTCACTTCTTCTGCCACGGTGTTTGTGGCTCGAAAGTAAAGTTCAAAGTCAAAGATAAAGTTCCCTAGAGCCTTTCCATTCTAAACCCCACAAAAGGGCTTAGACTCCAAGATCTTTATCTTGTTTAATTGTATTATAATTCCAGGTGAGGTTTGGTTCCCCACAGCTCCCATGGTGAGGTTTAATCTAGTTCTCAGACAGCCACTTCGGCCCTGACCACTCCTAGGGCTGCTCTCAAATCCTTAGACATTTCTTAGACCATTTGATCTATTGCTCGTTGGGCCTTGTCTAAGCCTTCGATGTGTTCTTCCAACCGAGTTTTTCTTGAAAGGTGATAAGGAAACCCTATTCCTCAGCCCAACGATCCAAGCTTTTGTTCAAGCAAGAATCTTGGAATCAAAGAAATTAACACCTCCTTATACAAAATTCGGATCAACGAAGAGATAAGGCTAGAATTAGATTACATCTTACGATCAAAGATCTAGAAACTGATGGAGTTCATATAACACATGCGGAAGCAATTTGGATCTTAGGCACTCTTAGAACATCTATTATAGTAAATAACTAGCAAGTTCATTAGTATTAAAACTCAAGGTCTTTGAGTACTAACCTTTTGTAATTCAAATTCCTTTTTCCTCACGAACCGGTTTCGAACCACAATGAGTGTCTTCTCCACTATTCTCCGGCCTTAGAACGGG